GGCCGCCGCCCGCTGGGCCTGGGAGCTGCGCCGGGAGCACTGCCGGCTAGGGCTGCAAAACAAAGGCCACCGCACGGCGCGGTTGGGGGCGAATTAGGCACAGACACAGTCCCAGCGTGCGGGACCGACCGGCCGGCTGTGGCCGGAGGGAGTACAGCAGAGGCCGGGACGGATTAGCTGGCCATGGAGGGTTAGAGGAATGGGCTGGGGCGGCTCTGAAGCAAGGCAGATTACAGGCGGACAGATGGATGGATGGACCAGTGGATGAAGTCTCACTCACATACTGAGAGGGAAGGCGGGATGGATAGATACACCAGCAGTCTGAAGGATGGATGGGAGAGCTGGCAGATGGTTGGAGGAGGAAAGGATGGGTGGGTGGGTGGAAGGGCAGATGGAAACACAGTTGGATATAACAGATAGATGGCGAGGGGAACCACTGCCCAACTAGAATATAGAGTCAAATGCCTAGGGGTGCCGGAAGAAAGGGCTAGACTGACAGAAGATGTGGAAAGCCGGAGAATGCAATGACTCAAAACACGAGGTTGTAGCAGGTCAGCTTCCTCATGGTTGAGAGCATGCTTCCTAACTCACCTGATTTGAAGGGACCAGGGTTCTTGTCCCACCCTTTCTAGGGCCCTACAGTGAGGGGCCCAAGCCTGGCTCAAACTGTGACCAACCTCAAAGGAAGGCTCCCAGAGTCAGCCAAAGTTCTCCAGGTCTGCCCCAAAGCACTGGCAAGGAAGGAGGTAGAAAACTGGGTGAGACTCACTCTTGAATAGAGCTTTCTGAACACTTGGGGGGCCCCTCTGACCACAAGATTCCAGAAACCCAAGCAAGAGAGGCCATACCAGCATGGTTCTTCGCCTGCATGACCCACTGTTACACTCTTTTTCAAAAGAAAAGGAGAAGAGACAAAGTATATGTGAACTGCTGTATGAAAAGTGAATTTACTCTGTAAATCTTCACCCAAATCCTAATAAAAAAAAAAAAAGAAAAGAAAAGGAGAAGACATGAGGGTGTGTGAACACACATCTCACACACATAGCTGGCATGTGCATGGACATTCTCTTTAAGCTTGACATTCTGCAGAGTCCCTCTCTGGTTTTTAACAGCTGGATGTGGAGTTCTGTCTCCTCATAGATTTTCTTCCTGGCCTTACATACATTCAGCTTAATTTGAGCACTCACCAGAGTAGACTACAAGAGGAGCTGCAAAACAACATAGGTTCACAAGTGTGGCAATAGCCTGTCATGACTCCCAGGACAGATGCCCTCCCTCAAAGGTATTCAAGGTCAGATAAAAATGAAAACAAGACCCCTGCTTCAAACATAATTTCTATATAACGTATGATACCAGAAGCAGTGACATATTTTATAAATTCCCTCTATTTTATACCATTGCTGTTTCTTTACTAAATATCACACCTTGAAGATCTTTTCTGTATAAAAACATATGTATTGACTTTAAGGACTGTGGAGTAATCCATTGTAAAGAAGTAATATAATTTAATTCAGCTGTCAACATTTATGTGCTTTCTAGTCATTTTTTAATAAATAATGCTACCATAAGCATTTTTATATGTATGTCTTAGCTCATCTATACAAGTTTATGTCAGAATTGAGTTTAGAGAAGAACTGTTGGTTGCATTTTAAAATTTGATATCTATGCCAAACTGCTCTGCAGAGTGGGCACATGAAGTTATATATATTGATAAATAATGGCTGATTCTGAAAATTTATTGCCATAGCTAAAGCACTGAGCTGCTAACCAAAAGGTTCAAACACACCAGCTGCTCTTCAGGACAAAGATGAGGCAATCTGCTTCCATAAAGATTCACAACCTTAGAAACTCTTATGGGGCAGTTCCACTCTGTCCTATAGGGTGGCTATGAGTCAGAATTGACTTGATGGCAGTGGATGGGTAAATAACTCTTATCTTTATGAAGTTCTACAGCATTGGTAGAAGGAAATTTTTTGTTTTCTAATGTTCAGAATTAATCAAACTGTCAATTTTAGCTTCTTCCTTATGTCCTTTAACACCACCCAAAGCAAGACAGAACTATTTAAAAATTTTATGTGTAGTTTCTATAAAAAAGAGTGTACCACATGATAAACTACGTTTAGAATTTAGAGCTAGGAATAGTCTGGTACTTTTTCTTTATTCAATAATAACTCTCTCTTTTTTTGCCTTGGCTTCCAGGATGCTCAAAATTGTAGTTGATGCTGAATCACAAAATAGTATGGACCAATAAAGAAACATCACTACTTCTGTATCATTTACTCTTATTTGTATTGTTTTGATTATTAAAGAGCCACTGATTTTTTAAAATTATATTTCTATTTTAATGACTTGATTGTACATATACATCTTACACTATGAACTACTCAATTCTATTTCAAAAGTTCAAAACCCAACCTATTGCCATAAAGTCGATTCTGATTCAGAGTGACCTTATAGGACAGAGTAGAACTGCCCCATAGGGTTCCCAAGGCGGTAAACCCTTACAGGATCAGACTGCCTCATTTTTCTCTGACCTAGAGCCTGGAATCACTGATCTTTCAATTAGCAGCTGAGCACTTTAATCTCTGTGCCACAAAAGCTCCTTATATTGAAAGTAGGTAGTATGTAAGTAAATAAAATTTAAATGGCTTTAGGATTAATAAAGGAGGTCAGGCAACATGGTTAAAGTGAAAGAGAATGAGAGAATAGTGGGTATAACTTTCATTCCTATTCTTTGTGAAGTATGTAAGAGACTTAACTATTCTTACTGCTCTTCAGAATCATCCTTAGAAGAAATTAAGAAAATTCCCCTCATCTTTCCCACTTTGCAAGGACAGCAGGAATTATTAGAATATAGAAAGGGATATCATCTAGACAGTCCCTTATTTTACTAATGAAACTGAGGCCCAGAGAGGTGAGGTGACTTACCCGAGGCCACAGCTCTAGGAAATAAGAGAGACAGGACTAGAACATGGGTAGCTTGAGATCCAGGCCAATGTGCTCTCCCACTGCGTAACACATAACGCAGGCGACTTGGGTGGCAGGAGGGAGGAAGAGAAGGTGACCCCACAGCCCCTAGCAACAAAAACAACAAAAAGGACTTGAGGCACTTATAAATAATTAAGCAATTAGCCACAGCAGCTACTCCCCTCCCCTCCAGCATCCAGTCACCAAGGCAACCTGGGCAGGGTGCCTGCTAGTTGCCTGGTAACAGTGTGGTCTGCTTTCCTGACAGGCTACCCAGGCATCACAGGATTTGAGAGCCCAGGAAGAGCTTTAGACAGGGATCACTATTCCAACACCTACGTTTTCCAAAAGAGGAAATGAAGGACCAGAGAAGCATAGTAACCTGCCTACAGTCACACAGCTACTCAGAGGCACAGCCTGAATTTTCAGGGTGCTTTCCATTGCACCGAGGCTGCCTCTAGGAGGCTGCAGATGGAGGAGAGGAGAAGCTCTCTCCACAGTTCCCACAAGAATGAAAGAGTGAGCACGAGCAAGCAAGAAAGAGACTGAGACCTTGAGCTCTCATATGCAATTAGCAGGAGCTGGTAATCCCATCAGCCCAACTTTCACTGTCGTTATGGCAACATGGGTGAGGCGAATGCTTGTTGCCTAGTAACAAGTGGTCTCTGTTCTTCTACTCACATCCAGCTCCCAGGGAGTCACAGGAATAGTAGAATGCTGAAGTTGGAAGGGAAGGCAGGGATCATAACTCAATACTCCCTTTGATCAATGAAGAAACTGAGGTTCAAGGACTTTGTCTAAGGTCAAACAATGGAACTAGCTAATAGCAGGATTCATTGTTAGTGAGCCTCTCCTGAATTTCCTCCATTTATTGCCATGGTTGTGGTACTCTGAGTAGGGAAATTTCCACTCAATATAAGTCAAAACAAGGGAGGAGAATGGCTAGTGGTTCCCTGGAGATACTCTACCACTTGCCTAGTGGTGATGTCACACACAGGCCCTGGCACATAGTAGGTGTACATAGGAGGTACTATGCACAGTAATTAAACACAAGGTCTGTAAAATCTGAATAGCTGTGTCAAAATCAAGCTCTCTACAAACCTGGGCATCATCTTAGCCTCTCTGCACCTCAGCCTCACATATGCAGAATGGCCATCCTGAGCATTCCTATCTCTTCAAGTCATTGGTAGAAGTAACTGAGAAAATGCATGTCAAGTGGCTGATACATAATCCATATTTAATAAGTATTTGGTGGATGTCTGCTCCGGAGCTACCACTGCTTTAGGCTCTTGGGATTTATCAGGACACAATGCAAACAGAAGAAAGCCTTGTCTCATGGAGTCTACATTCTAGTGAGATGAATATACATATAGGTTGTTGTTGCTGACTGCTGTTGAGTTGGCTCCAATTCATGGCAACTCCATGAACAAGGGAATCAGCCCACTGTGATCCATAAGGTTTTCATTGGCTGATTTTCACAAGTAGATAGCCAGACCTTTCTTGCTAGTCTTTCTTATCCAGAAGTTCTGCTGAAACCCATTCAGCATCATAACAACATGCAAAGACAGGTGGTAACTGCACTGGAGGTACAATGAGAATCAAACCTGGATCTCCCACATGGAAGGCAAGAGTTGTACCACTGAACCACCACTGTTATAAACAGATAGATGCTGTTGTTAGGTGCCAACAAGTTGGTTCCAACTCATAGCTACCCTAAGTACAGCAGAACTAAACACTGCCTGGTCCCCCACCATCCTCACAATTGCTTTTATGTTTGAGCCCATTGTTTTAGCCACTTCTGTCAAGATTCACTGACTGTCTTCCTCTTTTTCACCTACCCTCTACTCTACCATGCATCATGTCCTTCTCCAAGGATTGGTCTCTCCTGACAACATGTCCAAAGTACATGCACATTCTGGCTATACTTCTTCCAAAAGAAATTTGTTCATTCTTCTGGAAGTCAATGGTATATTCAATATTCTTCACCAACACCATAATTCAAAAGCATCAATTCTTCTTTAGTCTTCTTTATTCACTGTCCAGCTTTTGCAGTGGTTAAAGCACTTGGCTGCTAACCTAAAGGTCAGCAGTTTGAACCCACCAGGAGCTCTGGTAGCCTAAGGCACTTGACTGCTAACCAGAAGGCAAGTGGTTCAAACCTACCAGCCACTCCTTGGAAGGAAGGTTGGGCAATCTACTTCCATAGTGATACTGCCTCAGAAGCTCAAGGAGGGGTTGCTATGAGTCGGGTCCGACTAGAAGGCAAACAACAACGACAACAAGCCACTCTGCAGAAGAAAAGTGTGGCAGCCTGCTTCTGTAAAGATTTACATAGGAAATCCTATGGGGACAGTTGGATAGGGTTGCCATGGGTGGTTTTTTTTAGATAGATCATATGCATCCCATTAAGTGTATGTTGAATGGGAGGAGCAATCACTGGCAATATGCTAGGTTTATGTGGCTGGGCTCCTTCTCTAAGACTAAGGAATTTCCTGTTTACAGGGTGTGATGCTATAAATATTCACACTTGTCTTCTAGGTGGGAACTCCGATTTTCCTTTTCTTTTCCCCCAAAGAAACTCAGAAGAAAAATGGAAGACAATGGCCACTAGGTGGCAGACCTCAGGCCCCTAGACACAAGGCATATGGAGGCACAAGCCTGGGGCACAGACCAAGACTCAGAAACTTCCAGGAAAAGCAATTGTTGTCACAGGCCAGTTCTAGAGTCATGGCGTAGGGGATACAAGAGACTTGAAACTTTACTGCTTTGGAGGAATACTGACCCTGGTTTCACTAGGATCCTGCAATGGATAAGCAATGTGACCCTGTGTAACTTATTAACCTGGCTCAGCTTCAGTTTTCTTATCTGAAACATGACATGATAACAAGAGCTGTTTGAGGCAGTAGGAGAGAACACGTTAAACACATCTTGCAAGTTGTGTGTAGAAAAAGCTAGAAACCCACTGCCCTTGAGTCGATTCTGATTAAAAGTGACCCTATAGGCCAGCTTGGCGTAGTGTCTAATGCATTTGACTGCTAGCCAGAAGACTGGCAGTTCAAACCAACCAGCCACTCTTTGGAAGGTAGGCTGGGCAATCTACTTCCATAGTGATACTGCCTTGGAAACCCAAGAAGGTGTCACTATGAGTCAGATCTGACTCAATAGCAGTGAGTTTGGTTTGGTTTTTATAGGACAGAGTAGAACTGCCCCACAGGGTTTCTAAGACTGTAATCTTTACAGAAGGAGACTGCCACATCTTTGTCCCATAGAGAGGCTGGTGGGTTCAAACTACCAACTTTTAGGTGAGCAGCTGAGTACTTAACCACTGTATCACCAGGGCTCCTGAAAAAGTTCTACCAATGATAAATATTTAGAATCTAAAAGACCTCTGAAGGCCTTGATCAGAGTTGCCAAATTGAAGAGGAAGGAGGAAAGGAATTGGTATTTGTTAAGCATTTGTAATGAGAAGACCGAGGGTCGCCCAGTCACTGAGCTTGGAAAATGTAGCAATGAGGCTTGGTTGTCCACTCTCCACATCTGTCCATCCATCCATCAGCAGAGTCCTCATTTATGTCTCCCTGGTAGCATAGTGCCTAAGGCACTTGACTGCTAACCAGAAGGCTGGTGGTTCAAACCCACCAGCCACTCCTCGGAAGGAAGGTTGGGCAATCTACTTCCTGTAGTGATACTGCCTCGGAAACCCAAGGAAGGGTCACTGTGAGTCGAGGTTGACTCAACAGCACATAACAACAACAAGCACTCCTTGCATTTAGCTTCCTTGTTTATTCCCACTGAGACCACCCCCTCTTGGTCCTGAGTTGCAGCCAGATGTGGCGGGGAGGGCCACAACACTCTCCTAACTAGTCCCCTTCTTCTAACACCTGCCCTTCCAATCCACTGCGACACAGTAGCCTGAGCATGGTCCCCAATTATCAGCTGAAAAAGGCATTTGACTAATAACCAGAAAGTTGGCGGTTCAAACCCACCAGCTGCTCTGTGGAAAGAAGATGGGGCAATCTATTCCCATAAAGACTTACTGCCTTGGAAACCCAGTGGGGACCGCTATGAGTCAGAACTTAACGGCAGTGGGTTTGGTTTTAAGGCATTTCACTACGTGCCATAATGATTTTAAGTGCCATGATGATCTTCTCTAGTACTTATTCCGCTTTTTTTTTTTTTTTTTTTTCAGGGCTATGTAATACTTATAGCAGAGGTTCCTTCTTAAATAAAATTTTCAAGGCCACTTATATCTCTTGCAGTGATCAATTCTCAGACCCAGGGATGTATCTACTTATTAGAAATAAGGGGTTTCAAAAGCTGACTTACACCTCTCAGTGATGCAAGTAGTTAATGCACTTGGCTCATAACCAGAAGTTTGGAGGTCTGAGTCCACCCAGAGGCACCTCATAAGAAAGGCCTTGTGACTGACTTCTGAAAAATTAGCCATTAAAAACCCTACGGGGCACAGTTCTACTCTGACACACATGGGGTTGCTATCAGTTGGAATAAACTCAATGACAATTGGTAGTAGCATCCCACCACTTTCAAGAGAAAGCCCGAACTCCTTCTCGTGACCAACAAGGCTCAGCATCTCTAGGATCCTGCCTGTCTTTCCCACTCCATGGACTGCCAATCTCCCCCTTCCTGAAAGCATCTTTGCTACCACACGGCATCTGCATACACAGTTCTTCCCTTTTCTGAGCTGTTAAGGTAAAATGTATGCTGCTCTGCATGGCTGGCCTTCCTCAACCAAGGCCTTTGTGGTGACATCTTCTCCCACTCCATCTCTAAGCAGGTCCTCTCTCTTTCCTGATCATTTCTTTCATGGCAGGAATCACAAAGGCACTAATCTGCTGTCTGTATTCCACACTGGAATGTGCAGCCTGAGGGGCAGGGCAGTGCCATCTCCATTCCCCTGTGCACCTCCAGGGCCCATGCACAACATGCAACAACGTTTGTTAAGGAAATGAACTGGGCATTTGATGGAAAGGGACAGTATGTGAATTTGCTTTCATTTTCTGCTTGCTCTCCTCTGTCAGTTCATCCCTTCCATGGATGCCACATTACTCTTCCTAAAAAGCACTTTCATCCTATTAATTCCTTGCTCA